AAAAAAAAAAAAAAAAAAAAAAAAAAGCACTGAATCAAATAAAAAATAAATTATGGATAAAAATGAAAAAAGCATTAGTGTGACAATATAATTTTTCATAAAGACTATGTAGATATTAATATAATTCAAACTTTCATCATTTTCCTGCCTTATCTGCTGTACCAGCCAAGGTGTTAAGTAGATACACAGGTGCACACAAAAATGTTCTGCTAGTATCCTTTGTGATCCGAGTTTTGCTCTAGGGCAGATGTCTTAAATACTAAGCTCTGTATAAATAAACTATATGCTCTTTAACTCTGGAGCACAAAATCCATGGACTTCACCCAGAGAAAGAGGAAAGGCAATTAATAGTTCTCCATTTAGGTGTAAATTAGATCCTCTATAAAATGGCTTATTTGCCATGTTCAAAAATAAGAGTTAGAAAAACATTCAGCCTGAATTGAAAAATCAGTTAACCAAGGGGAATAATTTTTTTTAAAGAGTGGTTTAAAAAGTACTCACTGGTGTCCATTAAGCATACCTTCTGACAGGTAACAACTTGAGATGAAAACAGCTAGAAGAATGTTTCAAGCATTCTGCTCTTCTGAGCGCTCATTTTGTTGTATGAGTGCTCTATTACCCCTCCATACATATCCTACAAGACTGGGAGAGGTGTGCACTCTGAGAGAAACCCAGTCTAAAACCAGAATCTAAAAACTGTTTATTAGCCCACCTCAAATAACTATAAATGGTAGTATTTCCTATCAACATAAAAAGGGTGGTACTATGTTGGGTAAGGCTATTATATCCCATTAAGAGTTACCAGAGACTCTAGATCTGTGGCAATCAAGTAGCCCCAAGAGACAGATTCTTCTATTAAGCAGCAAGAAAAAAAGTAGTTTTTGTTGTTTTCTTTTTAAGAGGATAGCTAACACTTGATATTTATGACCCCATCAATCCAAAGAACACATCTTTCAAAGCAAGTAGCTTTTGAGTCCATGAATGGGTTCACATCTATTTCAGCATCTCTGAAAACAGATCATTACCTGGAAGGCGTCAGTGTCCAGAATAACAAATCAATTTGTTAAACCCAAGGATTTAGGTGGAGAAAAAGCACCCACATTTTGCATTACCAAAGAAGTGACATTTCTCCTCACTGCCCCGGCTCAGACCCCTCAGAGTCTATGTAGCCAGTGAAACACAGCCAGGAGCAAGCCTAGGAGACCCAGAGAGCCGTATCGCATTCCCAGCATTAAATGAAGGCCTCTGTCTATAGGGAAAAGAGAAGTGACCGATGACTTTCATGAGAGACTGGGACTAAGTACAGAAAGAACAAATAAAAGACACCAATTTTCACACTTTTCAATTGCACACAAACTAGACATTCTGCACACACTACTGATGTCATTCCTCTTTCGTACCATAATCCCTTCTGAGGAAAAGCAGACCTAAGAAATGATTAGTAAAAGAGAAACGTGTTTCTAGATATAATACAGCACATACAACTCTTTGCCAAATATCCAACATGACCATTAAAGATATCTTATAGGAAAAAAAGTAACTTTCAACTGTATTTGTGATCTGACCTGAGAGACACACCACACCCACGCAAACTATGTATCTTATCTATTTACCTGGCTGGTGGTGGTGACTGGCATAATCACTGGGCAGAGCTAATTCTCCTGGCTCTGAAGCCTCTCACAGACTTACACTCCCACTCCGGCTGGGCCTACAGGAGAAGCTGTGACGCTCTGAGGGTGCTGGGTAGGGCCAGCTGTACTGGGCCAGGCTGCTGACCCCATCTTAGTCACAGATTAATGGGCTTCATAGTCAAGAAAAGCCTCTCTTCCCAATCCATATACAACCTTACTCTTTAACTAACATTATGCACTGAGATGGTGCAGAAAAGCCCCTGATTTGTGTGTGTGTGTATGAAATATGAGAAAGAGATCAGCCAGTCAACTCCGGGGTCACCAGGGCTCCGCTCATGGGGACAACTACTTTTCCAAAATGCCCCGATGTTCCTGGGGTCCCAGCTCACTTGCCACTCTGCATTTCAGTGGATGATGGTGCCTGGAGTGTCTGACGGACTGCAAAGGAGTGCTGAGGGGTGGAGGGAGGACAGGAGGAAAAAGAGATATGGCCACAGGATGGTAGTAACTGTGATGGTAGAGAAGCATCAGGACAGCAACAAAGCATGATCTTGTCTGAGACCACAGATATAAAACTAGTAACCCTGGGGCCCTGGAATTCAACAAATAAGTATAGTTCTGAATATTCTGGTAAAACCAAAACAGCAAATCAATGGGCTGCTCAATGGTATAGAAGTATTCTATTTTGCTAATTTAGGGTTGAGGGATATCTATTTGGAGTCTACAGACATAGTCCAGACAGCCACGGAAACTGGAGAGGTCCCCTCCATCTGAGGATTCTCTGGGACAAGTCAGTTCAATACTGGGGGTAACTCAGCATTACCCAAAGTGAAATGGCCGGACCTTGGCTAGAGGCCCCCTCACCCACACGCGCTGGTCAATCTGGTCCGGGCAGACCTCAGTTCTTCTTGTCATCCTTCTGCGGCTGACTCCACGTGGTCCCTATGTTGTTCCACACCTCTGTGTACATTAAGGTCCCAATGAAGACAAACAGGGTACCCAACCAGTGCCACAGAGTGAAAGGGTTCTGGAAGTACAAGATGGAAAAGATGAGGCTCACAAACTTGCGAAGAGTCACAACGAGTGTGACGGTGAGGGAGGCACATTCTGTGGTGAGCATGAACACACCCCGGACGCACACATACCTAGAGGAGCGGAGTTAAGGCAGTTTTCTGTGAGCTGTACTTGCCACGAGATCAGTGGGGGCAACTTCTGGCATCGTTGTTGGCTTAAATTTTTACATTCTACAAAAACCTGAGGGCTACTCTGGCTGCTCTGAGGCGCCTCCTCACTAGAACATTCTGCGGAACTGTCCTGCCACAACATTTACAGATGCCAATTTGAGGATGACAACAAAGGTCACCTCTGACATAATGACAAAAGATCCCATCCACCTTTATTTTGTCTTGTCCTTGGCTCCTCTGCCCCCTCCTACTGAAAGAATTGTTTGGCAAATCCTTAAGATGACTTTGAAGGAAAGAGTTTAGTATCATTCTGTTTCACCATGAAAGAGACAATCAGTGAACTTAAGGCTATTCAAATTATTTGTTTAATAAATTAAGTCTCCATTAATCTGAGATTTCTTTCAGAACTTTGTGGCCGCTTGTGACAACTGGAAATATACTTGAACACTGGAAAACCTCAAGTATAAAAATCACAGATCATTGGTGTCATATCCTAGTTTTTAACCAATCACCAGGTTCTTCCATTTTCACTTGGAGCACTTCTTCCCCGCTGCCCTGTGACTTACTGACCTACTGTACCTAACCAGTCTCCTTAGCCTTCTGCAAAGAAGCTTTCTCAATAGGTATTGGTCTACTTACTGCAGAAAAAAAAAAAAAAAAAAAAAAAAAAA